CAGCCCCAGGTGGCACACGCTGTCCCCGGCTGTGGTGGTGGAGAGCCCTCTTCCAGGGGAGCCGTTAGCGCTTAGAGGCCTGGACGGGATGTCAGACCCCAGCGTGAACACAGGCACGGAGGTGTGGCGAGGGCCAGGGCACAGGGCATCTCTGTGCGGCCTCCAGGCCTTGCGTTGTGACTCCACGGTGTTATCCAGGAGAAGTGCAGACCCGGGTTTTCACTTGGAATTTCTCACTTGGAGCTTCATGGTTAGGTGGCTGGGTCCCTCCCCATTACATAATTTTGAAGGAAATGAAAACACTGATGTTAGGGCTGATGTTTGGCTCAAAATTTTGAGACAGGGTCTCCCTAAGTTGCCGAGGCTGGCCTTGAAATCACGGCTTTGGGCTGATGTCTGGCTCAGAGTTTGCACATCTGTCGGTGTTTAAAGCACACACCTGCAGCAAAGGCAGGAAGGTACTCTGGTGGAATCCGAGGGCATTTCCGTGTGTCCAGATGGCACCGAGGAACTCGCATCACACAGGGGAAATTCATTTTCATTTTTAGAGCGCCCTCTTCTGACCCTGAGGCAGTTTCCGTTTGCTGCTGCCATGTGATGGCGTCTCTAGCCCTTCCAATTTCTTTTTCATGGTAGCAGGAGCAGGCTCAGGCTCCCAGCCTCGCCCTGCAATACCGTCTACCTGGGTGTGAAGGATGCTTTTTTGATTATATCCATTTATATAATTTTGTTGACGTCATGCATCACTGGTTTTTCTGCATAAGGTAGCTATCAAGGTTCTTTTTAGAAATGAAAGTCAAAAAAGACCAGTGAGGGGGTGGGCTTGTGGCTCCGTGGTAGAGCACTTGCCTAGCATGCAGGAGGCACTGGGTTCGACCCCCCAGCACCACAGAAAAGTAAATAAATAAAGGAATTGCGCCCATCTGCAGCTAAAAACATATTAAAAAATAAAAAGCTTATAATTGTTGAATTATTAGGAAACTGAGTTGTTGATTACTAGAGTATGCTTGAAATTGGCAAAAAGAAAAAAAGAAAAAGTGAAGGGGTGGAGTGTGACTTCAGTCAGGAAAGGCACGTGCACACACGTCCCCAGGAGTCACACGCCAGCCCAGGGCTCCTCCCTGCTCCTCACCCTCTTGTGTTCCGCACGTTACAGAAAGTTCGCGTTCTTGGATCAACTGAGGTTCACGCACAACACCGACATATTTATCGGGATGCACGGAGCCGGTCTCACCCACCTGCTGTTCCTCCCCGACTGGGCTGTGGTGTTTGAACTGTGAGTGTTGGGACTTCTGGGCGGTGGCTAGTGCTGACTGTCACTCTGAGCGTCACAGGGTCTTCCCAGGCACCTGGTGCCTTGCAGGAGTCTGGGAGGTCCTCGGCAGCCTGTCGGTGTGCCTCTGAGCAGCTCACCTGCTCACCCCGGCTCGCTCCCCAGGGTGACCCCAGTTTCCTTCCTGCCTGCCTCTCCCACCGCGAGCGTCTCCGGCAGTCAGTGTAATGACTGTGTTGAGAGAACCTGAAGCTGAGGATGTACTACGGCTTTAGTTGGTAGAGCGCTGACTCAGCCTGTGCGGGGCCTGGGTTGCACTCACAGCACTGGGAAGATTTTACAAAAGAGGGAATCTGTGTGTCTCCTGCACGACCCAACCCTCGCCTGCCACTTCCCCTAGTGCTTGCTGGCTACCTGCTCAGGAAGTCCAGGCCATGGAGGAAATGCTCGTCAGGGCGTGCCTGTGCGTCAGTGGTCACCTTGGGACGTGGTCTTCCCTCCCGCAATGTGGTCAGCACCATGTCCCATCTTTGCTTCTGAACACTCGAACAACAGCGATCCCTGTTATTTTATTTCTCCCCCTCGTATCTGCATAGCTTGGTGGAATGGCTTCATTTTTAAAAGGAAGTGACTCGGAATGTAAACAGGAGGCTCTTATTTAAGAAGCCTTGTCACAAACTTCCAGTGCTCTGCGAGACGTTTTAAATGCTGTGTGTTGGAGAGGTCTCCAGATGGTTGTGAGTTCGATAGCAATGCACTTCTCCTAGTGGGGGCAGCAGGATGGAAGACGGGAGGAAGGAGAGGAACGTCACCCAGGAAAGGTGGACGTTGGCATCCTGAGCCTGGCATCAGGCTCCGCTTCCTGCCTGGGCTAGCTGGCTGCCTGACCTGGGGGCTTCCGCCTGTGCCAAGACGTAACCTGTTTCAAGACAGAGTCAAGTTCACAGGCAGTGGGTCCTGCTGGATAAGGCCAGTCCCCTCCGCCCCTTGATCTTACTCTGCTTGGTAAAGGTTAAGGCAAGGTTCTGAGAATTTATTTATTGAGTTCGTTGTTTTGTTGTTTGTGCTGGACATCAAACCCCAGGCCTGGTGCATACTAAGCAAGCACTCCACCACTGAAGTACAGCCCCGACTCTTGAGAATTTTAAAAATATCATCTTTTTCATTGTTGCTAACTGTTGACAAAAGCTTTTGCAAGAGCGTATTTGGGTGCTACATGTCTTTTCCACATAGAATTGTGGACTGGACAAAAAACCCTGGACAAAGCCTGGTGTTGTGACACCCTTGTGTCCCCAGATACAACTGTGAAGATGAACGCTGTTACTTAGACCTGGCCCGGCTGAGAGGCATCCACTACATCACTTGGCAAAAGATGGACAAAATCTTTCGTCCGGAGAAGGTGAGATCCATCATTTTATTTTATTATTATTATTTAAATGGATTTATTTATTGTAATTAGGTGTATATGACATCAGAATGCATGTGGATTAATTCTACACAGTTGCACCATGACTTTTCATTTCTCTGGTTGTACATGATGTAGCATCACACCATATGTGCAGTCATCCATGTACCTAGGGTAGTGATGTTCGTCTCATTCCACCATCTTGCTGCCCCCATACCCCTCCCTCCCCTCCCTCCCCTTTGCCCAATCACAGTTCCTCCATTTTTCCCATGCCCCCAGCCATTTTGGATCACTATTTATTTATCAGAGAGAACATTTGACCTTTGGTTTTTTGGGATTGGCTCAGTTTGTACTTACATGATATTCTCCAGCTCCATCCATTTACTTGCAAAGTCCATGTTTTATTCTCTTTTGGTGCTGAGTAATATTATATCATGTAAATATATACCACAGTTTCTTTATCCATTTATCTATTAAAGGGCATCTAGGCTGGTTCCACAGTTTACCTATTGTGAATTGAGCTGCTATAAACATTGATGTGGCTGTGTCCCTGTAGTATGCTGTTTTTAAGTCCTTTGTGTATAGATCAAGGAGAGGAATAGCTGGGTAAAATGGTGATTTCATTCCAAGATTTCTAAGGACTCTCCATACTGTTTTCCATGTTGGCTGCACCAATTTGCAATCCCACCAGCAGTGTATGAGTGTGCCTTTCCCCCACATCCTCGCCAACACTTATTGTTGTTTGTATTCTTGATAACTGCCATTCTCACTGGCATGAGATGAAATCTTAGAGCAGTTTTGATTTGTGTTTCTCTAATTACTAGAGATGTTGAACATTTTTTCATATAATTGATGGTTGAATGTATATCCTCTGAGAAGCGTCTGTTCAGCTCCTAAGCCCATTTATTGATTGGATTGTTTGCTTTTTTTGGTGTTTTTTTTTTGAGTTCTTTATATATCCTGAAGATTAGTGCACTATCTCACATGCATGTGGCAAAATTTGCTCCCAAAATATAGGTTATCTATTCACATCACTGATTGTTTCTTTTGCTGAGAAGAAGCTTTTTAGATTGAGTGCATTCCACTTATTGATTTTTGTGCTTTAAGAGTCTTGTTAAATAAGTCGGGGCCTAATCTGATGTGATGAAGATTTGAGCCAACTTTTTCCTCTATTAGGCTCAGGTCTCTGTTCTAATTCCTACGTCCTTGATCCACTTTGAGTTGAGTTTTGTGCATGGTGAGAGATAGAAGTTTAGTTTCATTTTGCTGAACATGGATTTCCAGTTTTCCCAGCACCATTTGTTGAAGAGGCTGTCTTTTCTCCAATGTATGTTTTCGGCTCCTTTGTCTAGTCTGAGATAACTGTATTTATGCGGGTTTGTCTCTGTGTCTTCTATTCTGTACCGTTGGTCTACAGGTCTCTTTTAGTGCCAATACCATTGCCATTTTTGT